TGGGATTTATACCCTCATATTCTCCCAACCCAGAAAAGATCCACTTTCTTTCTGCTTAATCTAAATAGAGAGGAACAAATATCCTGGATTTTATTCCAATGCTTTGATTTTCTTTGGTTTGTAGAAAGCTGGGTAGAATCTCTAAAAACCATGATTTCCCTTGTTTTTTCTCGGAAGAGGCTGTGATGTGGCAGCTGCTTCTTGGTGGCTGATTTAGAAAGGAAACTAACAAATGGATGAAGAAACTTGGGAGAGAAATGGAGGGGAAAGGAAGGGAAAAATGAACAGAGCTGCAGATGAAAAAAGGAAGGGATTCAGGATGGATGTTGGACTTGACCAAGACCTTAAACTGCAGAATTCAATGACACCGAAAGGGAAAATGATGAAATATGCGAGGAGAAAAACCTGTTAATACCGTACTATAATTTTGTTAAACCATAAAAGCCATGAGATAAAATTTGAGTTTCACCCCATCACACTCTCCCAAAGCGGGGATCAGTTTTCAGACCAGAAATTACACATCCCTCAACTAAAGCATTGCTAGTTTAACCATGGTTTCTGGTGCTGCTGCCCTTGGTGAAGTGATTCCAGTGGTTGGGTGGATGCAACACACGAAGCCGAAAAAAACTGGCTGACGTTGGAGCCCAAGGTCTATCTTGGGCAGGTAGGACCACCAGGTGGAGGTTTTGGCCACAGGAAGCCATCAGCCTCCCTTTCGAGAAATGGGGGTCTCAACCCCCACCATGAGGTATTGCTGACCCCAATGAATATATTTACACCCTCCTTAAACTATAAAGCAGACATGTCAAACACAAGGCCCTAAGGATGCAGCCCGCTGGATGCAGCCCGCGAAGTGGTTTCATGTGGCCTATGAAGCCATCCTGGAAACAGTGAGGGAACGGCCCCCACTGTCTTTGCCCTGGCCCAGGCTGTCCGGGAGCCAATGTACAATTTTGTGGTAGCCATCTATGCTGAAACGCATTCAGTCTTAGCTCCACAAGGCCATCTGGAAACAGCGAGGAACCAGCTCCTGCCGTGTCAGCCCCGCCCCCTGGGTGCATGCTGGGGAGGTGTCAACCTTTGTGAGGAATGAAGAAATGCACCATCGCCTGGAAGTGGCCAGCAAATGGCCCTCACCTACTTCACAAATCCGGCTTGATGGGCTCTGGGGGAGGGGTTTCAGCAGGCAGTGAGGCTCCTCCAGTGGACCATGCCTTGGCACTTGCCCTGGTCCCACCCCCTTCTGCCAGAAACCCTCAGATCTGTCCCACTGCTGCCCTGGCCCCCACAGGCACCCTTGGAAAGAACGATGTAGAGCTGGCCACACCCACCCAGCAGGCCACACCCACTCCATCCAGGCCCACCCAGTAGGCCGCACCCACCCGGCCCCCGAGGGCAACTGCAATGCTGATGCGGCCCTCAATGAAATTGAGTTTGACACACCTCCTTAAAGAAATAATAAAAAGCCATTTTAGGAGGACCCCATGTTCAGTCTCTAGTGGCCCAAAGTACAATGTCCATGAATAACGACATAGGTTGTCCTCTCTGCCTTAGAGCTACCTGCATATAAAAGTCAATGTGGCTGGGGTCTTCGCTGTGTTTTCTCACATCATAGAACAGCACACACACACACCCAACTGAGAAAAAGAAAAAGGCAGGAATCATTAACAATTTGGGCAGGCAAATGGGGAGCAACAGGGAAAGCCGTGATAGCGCAGTGGTTAGAATGCAATATTGCAGGCTAATTCTGCCGACTGTCAGCAGTTCAATTCTCACCAGCTCAAGGTTAATTCGCCCTTCCATCCTTCCGAGGTCGTTAAAAGGAGGACCCAGATTGTTGGGGGACAATATGCCGATCCTGTAAACCACTTACGGCTGTAAAGCATTGTGAAGCGGTATATATGTCTAAGTGCTATCTCTGTTCTGTCAGCCATCATGAATATTTCTCTCTTCTTTTCTTCTTTTTCCTTCATCCAGCAGTTGGCACCGGGAAAAGTGGACAAAGTTCCAGTTAGATTTTCTGCGTTTAGAAAGCCCTGCAACTGAGAAGGCGCCGGAAATTATGCTGGGTGGAGAAATACTTCAATAGAAGGTCCCCTCAGAAGAACCAGGAGAGACTCTTCAAGTGCTCTGAGTGCGGGATATTCTTTGCTCACAAATCCCTCCTTTTGATTAACCAGAAGCTGCACATGAGGAATGGATCCCATCTGTGTTTGAAGTGTGGGAACTCGTTTCGTGGCTGTGGAGCTTTGCCAAACATCTCTGGAGCCACCCTGGACTGAAGCCCTACAAATGTGGAGAGTGTGGGAAGCATTTTGCTAAAAGGCTGGGACATCGGAGCTCCTTAGCGTATCCACCAGGGAAAGAGACCTCAGGAAGGTCTCAGTGTTTTTCCAGGCCTCAGAACAGCCCAACTGAAGAGGAACCCTGCAATTGTGTGCAATGTGGGCTTTGCCTTTCTCAAAATTCAGAGATGCTTAAAAATCAACAAATCCACACTGGACAAAAACTTTATCAATGTTTGTAGTGTAGAAAATCTTTTGTTCGAAAAAGAAGTGTCAAAATCCACAGGAAAATTCACATGGAAATAAAACCTTATAAATGCTTCGTGTGTGGAAAATGTTTCACTCGGAATTCATCTCTTTGCAAACATACTAAAACACACAAAGAGGAGGAAAGCAGAACGTGCCTAAAATGTGGGAAATGTTTTTCCACGAAATCATCCCTGCAACGACATCAGACAGTCCACACTGGAGAAAGACCCCATGAATGCCCACAATGTGAGAAACGATTTGGGAGTCCTTCCGCACTTTGGAGTCACCAAAAGACACACACGGGAGAAAAACCTTATAAATGTAACGATTGTGAGAAATGTTTTGCTCTAAAGGAAAATCTTTTTCGACATCAGACTATCCACACAGGGAAGAAGCCCTATCAGTGCATCGAGTGTGGAAAATCTTTTGGTACGATATCAAGCTTCGGACATCATAAGAAAATTCACAGAGGGGAAAAAAAATTCAAATGTTTAGACTGTGGGAGAGCATTTATTCGTTCATCTCATCTTAGAAGACACTGGCAAGTCCATATAGGAGAGAAGCCCCATAAATGCTCGGAGTGCGATAAATGTTTTTCTACGAAAAATAGACTTTTGATACATCAGAGAACCCACAGTGGAGAGAAACCATATAAATGTCCGGAGTGTGGGAAGTCTTTTCCTTGCGAAGAATATCTTAAAAAACACCAGACGATTCACACAGGAAAAAAACGTATCAGGTCTGTGCAGAAAAATAAAATGTGCTCAGAATGTGGGAGATGTTTCTCCCAAAGGACACACCTAATTCGACACGAGAGAGTTCACACTGGAGACAGGCCCTATCAATGCCCAGAATGCGACAAGCGATTTTTGGATTCTCCTGAACTCCGGAGACACCAGAAGGCGCACACAGGAGAGAAACCCTATAAATGTGGGGAGTGTGCGAAAGGTTTTCTCACAGCAACACAGCTTCGGGTTCATGAGAGAATCCACACAGGGGAGAAGCCGTACAAATGTTTGGAGTGTGGCAAATGCTTCTCCCGGAAAGAACACCTTGGACGTCATGAAAAGGTCCATACAGGAGTGAACCTCATAGAGCGTAGAAATGTTTTGCTCAAAGGGGAGACATCAGAAGAATCAGCGTACAGGAGAGTAAAGGTAAAGAGATCAACTGATTGCAAAACAAAACGTTTTCTCACAGCAACACTGCTTCGGGTTCATGAGAGAATCCACACAGGGGAGAAGCCGTACAAATGTGTGGAGTGTGGGAAATGCTTTTCTCGAAAACAACACCTCGTACGTCATCAAAAGGTCCATAAAAGACTGAAGCCATAAAGACTCTTAGAGTGTAGAAACGTTTTGCTCAAAAGGGAGATATCAGAAAACTTACATGGGAAAAGGCCTTACAGGCCCTGATGGTGGAACAGTTTTTCACAGTTTTTCATAGTTGTTCAACCCTTAGAAGTCAGGTAAGAGTTCCTAAAGGGGGGGGAATTAGAAACTCTTAAATCATGAGAGAGCATTTTTTTGTCAATCATCCCTTAAAAATCATACTCTAATCCATATAGGAAAGATGCAGCATAAATGTTTGGAGTGTGATGTATGTTTAGCCTGAAAGAATACTCTTTTTCAGCATCAGTGAATTCTTACTGGAGAGAAACTTTATCAGGGCTTAGAATGTGGCAAAGGTTTTCATCTGATAATCAGATCTTGAGATGCACATGAAAAATCCACACAGCAGAAAAACCTTAACAAGTGTGTAGCATGAGAAAACGTTTCCTTGCCAATTGGAACATCTTGTATTCTGGACCGTATAGCTCTATGTAACCTCGTATAGGTCTATGTAACCCTAACTAGAGAGCACGTATCAGTATGTTAGTAATGGGTCAGTGGGAGGAGTTTCTAAAGGGCTTTGGGAGACCTCCTGGACACTAGCCACAGGGGAATTCCTTTGTTCATCCAGCTAATGGCTTCCAGCCACACGGCTTGGAGAGCCTATACCAACATGTGATGTTTATGCAAAGCAGAGGGGAAAATCTATCATCAATTTACCTATGGAAATGAACAGAGAGATGTAATATACAGAAGTAACATCGTAAAAGCAAGTATTTACTCTGAATAAACATTTTTCTCTTTTATAATTATTTCTATTGAGTTGTCTATCTGCCTTAGATTGGACATAGAAGAAGGTTGTCCTGTCTGGGCAGAATAGTAAATTGATGAGATTAATTTTCCTCTGATCTACAACAGTTTAAAGAAGTAAAGCAAAGATTCTCTTGCATGTGAAAGTAACTCGATGTGGCTGATTTCATCGCCTGCAACAGTAAAGTCAGTGTGTCTGTTTGGGAGACAGCGTTTAAAAGAAGGTGTGATTAGCATTGTTTTGTTAATTTGCTGTTAACTCTGCAGGCCAATGTTTTAAAGCAAAAATTTATTGCATGTGAAGGCTGCATCTCTGAAATCAAGGAGCATGGGCTGTCACACCCCTCCCCTTCTCTTTGCCAGCAACTTCAAATAGCTTGGGGCAATGAGAGAATTGTTTCAGAAGACTGTCTGTACACCTATTTCCATTTGCAAAAGAACTGTTTAAAACTGCCTCTAAAGTTCAGATAAAGGCTTGGAAAGGATGATACACCACCACCCTTGTTATATTCTACGTTTGGAATGCAGCCAAATGCTGCCTTCATTGTCCGCAAGCTAGCAACAGGTTGCCAAGGAAAGCAATCAAGTCATTAACTTTTTCACTCAGCCACAGCGCTGGTGAAAGGAGCTAAACCCCCCCCTCCCTTAGGAATGCTTGGAATTTCAATCAATGTCAATGGAATAAAAAAGCATCTGGTTTCAGAGGCAGAACCAATCTAGCAATGCAGTAGCGTCCCCTGGTGGTCAATTTGTTTTTTCCTTCAGCAATCTTCTAGCAATTAAATGTGGATTACAACAACTTGATAATTAATTCAGCACATAGCAGGCTCATACCAAGCCAAGCTAAGAGTACCCCATAGAGGGAAAGAAGGTACTTCACTGCACGCATCACTAACTACACAGAGTGAATGTTAGCTAAAGTGCAAGTTACTTAAATTTATCCCAAGCTACCAACACCCCCTAAAAGGGCACAGAGTGAACTTCACCAAAGTATTCACTCACTCAAGCTGAAGACCAAGTTGTTCCAGTTTGAGGGAATTAAGGAGAAGAACAAGCAGAGCCAATTATCCTTGCTTATTATCACAAGCTTAAGACCAAGGGGTTCCAGCCTGCAACTTAACGGCCAGGTGGGAGTTTGTAGCTGTACATTCTCTCAGTGGCCACTAGCAGTAACGTGGTAATAGGAAGAATTTGGCTGGCCTTTCTTCAGATGCCCCCTAGTGGTTAAAGGAGGCACTACACACAAGCCTTTAATCACGCCCAGAGAAAGCCCTCTAGTGGACAAAGGCTATACATCAAAGGAAGAGCACCCTGGTAGCTGACCCGCAGGAAGTGACCCCTAGTGGTGAAAGGGTGAATTGCGCTGAAGCACCCACAAGCACAGGAGAATGCACCCAGTGGCGCCTCCACCCACAGACAGCACCTTTGAAGCTGATCCACAAGCAGCGACCCCTAATGGCCAAAAATAGAAGTTCAACTAATTTGCTTCTAAATAACTAGGAAGTATACTGAACCTATCCTAGCCATGGCAGAGTGTCCCACTGAGTTAGATAAAGGGGTTCAACCAACCAGCCTAGTTGAGACACCCCAACCAGCCGCCAAGGAGAAATGCTGCAAACAGCCAACTTTGACCCACACACAGGCTGAAGCTCAAGCCTCAGCAAGGCCAAAGATGTCTCAGGGTCACTATGGTCTGAGACAACAAAGAAAGCCTACAGAAGCCATGCATGCACATCTGATGGAAAAATGGAACACCATCCACAGGCGCCATGAAAGAGGCTGGGAGAGATTACACAAACTCTACCAAGAGCAAAAGGAGGAACTCTCCCTTGAACGTGCGCATGTAGTGGAAGGAGATAAAGAAGACGTCTTTGTGCAATGGATGGACTTCGAACAGCAATTCGAGGACATTAAGGAGCAATTGAGAGACTCAAGAGTCGATAGCGAGATGCAAAGCCTCAGGTTACTGAACGAGGAACGTAAGAAGCTTCTGGAGAGCCCACAACGCCCCCCGAGCCCAAGCTTCACACCAGAGACAGACTGGTCGACAGGGCCGAGTCCGAAGTTTCCCGCCATTCACATGCACCGTCTCAAAGGTCGCATGTGGCTCCGTCTCGTATGTCTGGAAAGTCCTCATCCTTCCGCCACATATCCAAGGCACATTCCAGCGTGTCCCAACAATCGCACGTCACAAGCGCCTCCCGCCATTCAAAGGCATCTTTTCGCCAGAGCCAAGCATCTCGAGCCTCAGGGGCAGAGAGCATTGCCGCCCGTCTCAGGGAAGCACGAATCAATACCGCAATGGCTGACGTCGCTGCACAAGCAGCAGTAGAAGCAACATAAAGAAGACTTAGCCAAAGTGGAAACGGCAACAGCTCTATGTGTAGCAGAAGCAGAGCGAGAGCAAAGAGAAGCTCAGACCAACTTTGAGATTTTCCAGCGACAACGAAGAACAAAAGAGGCAGCCGCAATAGAAGCGATCCTGCAGAGAGAGCTGAAAGATGCCACATCTATGCCCAAATTGGAAGGGCTAGGAAGAGAAAGCCCTCATAACCGTGTGCAGGCCTATGTGGACAACCAAAGCGCGTTTCAACGTGAACAGGTGAGACCACAGCCAGCCACAAGCCCCCCAAGACCGAGTAGACGAACAGAAAAATCTCAATGGTCAGATGCGCTGGTCAGCCACAGGGTTGATGTCGTGACAACTAGGCCACGAGTTCTTCCCACC